ACACCCCAGCACAACACCCCAGCACAACACCCCATCACAACACCCCAGCTCCAGCCTCATCTCCAGCCTCAGCCCCAGCACCCAGCCCCAGCACTACACCCCAGCCCCAGCCTCATCTCCAGCCCCAGCACTACACCCCAGCCCCAGCCCCAGCCCTGGATATGTCGATACACAATCCCATCTCTGAGACCCAGAGATCTGTCCCGTCACAGCTGTACCCCGACAACCACGACCAACTACATAACATAACATCCCGACTTGTGATGTTCCTTGTGAATTAAGAAAAATGTGTGACAAATCGAGTGTCATTTGGAAAACACTGCGATGCACTGAGTTTCATTAAGCAGAGTAAAAATCAGATCAAATGTTAACATGTACAAACTTTACTTTTACTAATCTTGAATACAACACAGTCAGGATTTGGAAAGTTTTGGAAATACTAGTTCAATGTATTACATAAAAAAAGTGTGTATGTCAGATAATAGTTGTTAAGTTGTTTTTTACAAAGCTGCAAAAATGTGTTGATTAATTCATTACTATTTTGATAATCACTTTGTTGTTTTAGTCCGTTTCACTTTTTTTATTTATTTAAAGTTCTTCATTTGATATTCAGACATTAAAGTAGTAGGAGGGGGGTACAATGATCCATATATCAGTAATAATCCATCAATTCAATGAGCAACGATACAATAGCATCGAAAACATTGATACATATCGCTGTTAGCTAGCGGTGCTATTTTGTGTTCAGTTCATTTGTCAGTAAATTAATGCTTCAACTCCTCAAGACTCAAGCCAAGCTCCAGTGTCTTGCTAGCCACCTGCTGATAAAAGTGAAGGGAGTTAGCCCTGAAGCTAGCAACAACAACAGTCCAGCCTCACTCTAGATGGACCAGCTATTCCTTTACTGACAAGTTGCTCACCAGCTTTGACCAGCAACCAGAACTCCATCAACAGGTCTTAATCAGGTCTAATATCATACTGTACAACTTGTGAGCCGCACTCCTAGTAGCAACAAACTATTGTCTAGGTAAAGATGTATAGGAGTAAAGTCTACCTGGGCTTGTGTGTGTGGTAATCCGAGCTTCTCTGTGCTTTGTTTACACAGCAGGTCTGGCCGTGTGTGCATGTTAGTGCATGTTAGTGCATGTTAGTGCATGTTAGTGCATGTTAGTACTGTGTGGCTAGCTAATGCACTGCGCTCATTCCCGGCCCACAACCTTGTAGCAGGGTAGCAGCCGTTCTGTGGTTCCCCCTCAGGTTAGCACTGTTAGCTCTGCCAAAACACTGAAAGCATTCTGGTAAAGTACCATGACCACAATGCAATGTGCATGCATTGACTCAAGCTATTCCAAGAAATAGGGGATAAAATACCACTTCCTCATAGCGCACCCTCCTGTCCCTAACATAGCATCAGCGCCATCTCTGTCCCAGGCCTCATTCTCACTGCAGGATAAACCAGCTGTATCGCTCAGCTGTCTTTCAGAGCAACATTTCTGCATTCTCAGAGTCCTGCTCCATCCAGGGCAGCTCTCCTCTGTCCCAGCACACCGACACAGGAAGAGCTCCATACCAGCCAAAACAGCATCTAACACCCAATAACAATCATCCTATAGTATGAAATACCTTAGTGTATGAAGCATGTCATACATTGTGTCATATTTGCTGTGGGACTGCAAAAAAACACTCACAACAGCAACCATTTAAAAGAGCAGGAGGCCTGGGAGTTCAGATGTGCGTGTGAAAAAGAGTTTGATTTTGCCGTTGACACATCCAAGGCATTGCAATGGAACCAGCCTGCCGCCGCTGAAAATAGCTCGTAATCAATCAACTGGCAGACACATATCTGTGCTCTTAAAACGTATAAATGTGCAATGCAGAGGGCCGATCAATGGGTGACAGGATTCCACAAGCATCGATATGGACATGCTCTTTGGCATAACAAGCGCTCGCCATCGGCCCATACTTATTTCCTGTGCCTCTGTCCAATGGGCCAGGCCTGCTGGAAAAAATATCTGCCAGTGTAGCAAGGTCTGTGAAGGACAACACAGACGAGGTGGCACAAGAGAATGATCTGCCTTCACAAAATCTATAGCTATAAATCTAACCATACTTTAATCCCTTGTGAAGTTATTTGGTGTTTTTTTTACAAGCATTTATCTAGTGTGTTTGACTGTAGGCTTGTAAGCTTGCAGCCTTTCATTCTGTTCCTACCCACAAACATGTCGGACAACTTCCTCTTTAATTTACTCTCTGTGAAAGAAAGCACTCTTATGACATCTGTGCTCAAAGACATAGCCTATAACAAAAATCGAAATAAATAGAGATCAGAAAAAGCTTCATGGGACGAGTAAGGATCTAAGAGCAGGTCGGGTCGGGGCAAAGTTCAAATGGAGCTAGCACTAGGAAGAAAGGACAAGCTAACAGGCAGACCCTTATAGTCTGTGACTTAGAGAAGTAGCCAAACCAACACAACGGACGTTCTCCTAACAGTATAAAGTTTGTTTAAATACAACCCGAGTCCAAAGTTATGACCGCTGCTCCCTTCCTTTCAACCCAGTTGGCTGCTGGAGCTGTCTGCCAGCGTTTCACTACTTCCAGGATAGTCGCTAAGAACAGTTATTGTAGTTCGGTGGTCATAACAACAATAGGTGTGTGTGTGTGTGTGTGTGTGTGTGTGTGTGTGTGTGCACGTGTGTGTAGGCCTTTACACATAGACAGGTCTGCTGCCATGTAGGACAGAGTATCTATGAATGCCCTCCGTCCACATAGTTCATGCTGAGGTTAAAGCAGAGAGGAAGTAAGTGAGAGGCCACGCAGCCTGACAAATTCCAGACATTAATCAAACACACTGACAATAGAGCATATTGTGATGCTTCTACTGAACACTGAGATTTCCAAATGTGAAAACTGACCATTCCAGTTAAGTGAATTCACATCAATGAAAATGCAAGGAAAAGTGAGAAGAACACAAAACCTCTGACATAAAAAACAAGAGCCACCACAACAGAACTACAAGAATAATTAACCATAGCTTAACTGAAATCTCGGTGTGTTTAACGGTATAGTTAAACCACATAAAGCTGTAACTTATTATCATTTTTATCTCCTCTAGACACGAGTAATATAAATGTGTTAGCTTGATGGAAATGTATTGGCCAAACATGCAACTGCTCACCAGCTGTTAACCAATCAGAAGCCGCAGTGTAACAGCCAGAGAGGCCGTGATAGGAGGAGAGCAAAAAGGGGCAGGAGAGAGAAGCAATCACAAAGGTGAATGATATTGAAGAGGAGGAGGTTGGAAACATGGAGGACAGGCAACTGGGACCTAGAATAACTAATAAAGCATCAGTCATTTTGTATTTGTGTTGTTTTAGAGTAGATGTATAATCACTTTAATGCAAAGCCACTCGCAACATAAGGACAAAAAGCCTAGTTCAAAACCAGTAAATGCACTCCAACACAAGAACAGTTTGACACTTTTAACATACTGTATGTCTTTAATTCACTCTGTTAATGCTTACTGTCCATGTTCACTTACAGCTGTCTGTGCTAGAAGATAGGCTCAATGGTTTCAGTGTTACAAAAACAAACAGAATAATAACAACATAAAGAGGACCACCTCATGTTCAGAGTTGCAACAAAGGGATTAAGAAATTAGATTTTAAATGTTGATGAAACAACGATATTACATGATACTGGAATATTGACTCAAATAAAACACAAGATGCTTTTTTATATAATATTGTTCAGTCGTACCGCACACATACTGACTCAGAGCAGCAAAGACAAACACAGGCCTTGGACTGTAACAGCTCCACCTTACAGATTCATGTGACTCTCCAACCATCACCTGACTATCTCTCTCCTTTCTATGGAAGCTGCTTTCAGGCAGGGCAACCAGGGGAAGACTTGACCCGAAGTCAAATTTATGTTCAAGGAACGGAAGATATTCAGGAAGAGAGTACAGAGACTGTTTGTCTACGTGCTCGACCATCTTTAAAACATTTCAGCTCTACATCCATGTACCGCGGCAGGCTCAGAGATCGCTGACAACAACACAATATCTCCAGCCGCTGATAAAGTGTGACTTTGAGCGAACCCTGAGAGATAAAGGAAGCTAACCTTTGGGACGGGAGGGGACAACTTCCAGTGCACTCCAGAGTCTGTACCGTGAACATGTCCTCATATTTACATGTGAATCCAGAGGTGAGTCAGAGAGGAAGCAGAAGGAGAACACTGTAATCAGTGAGTCACTTTGCATATCCAAACTTCCTTTTACAGGCAAGACGGGGGCCCTCCACTGTGTGCGACTAGCACCCTATGGTGGCCCAAGGTAAAGTGGGAGCCTCCCAAACAATATGGGGCACCGTGCAAAGAAGCATGACTTTCTGCGCCTTGACACACTGCAGTTTTCAGAGTGCAATTGGAATAACTACACAGATTGATACCAAAAATCATAGCGTTTCTCAAGTCCATTGGTCCCTTCAAATGAGGCTTTCACCTCCACAAGTACACAATCACCAACATTACATTCCCACATTTAAATGCAGCATTATTACATATTAACTTGGGTTTACAGACAAATATTACATCCAAAACAATTCCAAACGCAACAGCTGGGCATTTTAATTCAGGCCTGGCCAGGCTTTGCATATTGCCATGGTGAGATGTCAACACGCTGACATGAGACGATATAAGTATCATTTTCCAAAGGACATATTCAACTGCCGCTTGTCTTGCCACACCCAGAGTAAACATATATCAGCCATATTCATATATGACATGACACCAGCACACACCGCAGAGCGCTTACTTCAAACATGATACAGAGAGGACAGACACAGAAGGGATGTGGACAAAAAGAACAGCTAATGTGTCTTGTTCTTACGATAATAGCTCTACTAGTAACTGATTACCAAATGCATCTAGTTACGTACAAACCCGCGAGTATCGTAAGCTCCAGATCACACCACAAAATGTCTTAAAGTGTTTCAACTCACTATTGTGCACAGTCGATGAGCTGGTACTCATTGGACCTCTCAAAGCATGCCTTCACTCCTTCGTCGTCCCACAGCTTCTTTGCGTGATCAAAGAACTCCTGAGGAAAGAAAAGGACAGAAGCATTAAGGATCAAGTACTATGTCTTGATGGGAAGGTCAGCAGATTTCAATTACTTCATATATGTATTATATGGTTCAAGCGGAATCCACGACCTTAGTCTAAAGTTGTGAACATCTTCCTCTGTGAGCTAATCTAAGTCCTTGTGCTTTACACGCAAAGCCCACTTTTATTTATGCAAGGAAATGATCCCTTCAAGAGTGTTAAACATTAAACACATCATTTTGGAAGTTTAGTTCATTTAGACCTGCTAACAAAGGCCATATCCATGCCCACTAAGCAGACTATGTATTTGAGACATGTTGGTGCATACAGTTAAGTATATCTTGTGATGAGTAACCTACGATTAACTAGTGTGCAGCAGACATTTGAAAATCTGAACTTGTTGTTTAAAATGTGACATAAAGTGGGTGAAACTCGTACTGCCATGAAAACTGAGACGCTCTATAACGAATAGTCACAGAATGGTTTGCTAATTCGGTGCATATACAAAGATTTCTAAATGGTCTCACAGTTTTTCAACAACAGCTCCCAGTTGCACACAATACAACCAGAGCATACACATACATACATACACATACATACATACAGTGCATACACATACATACAGTGACATACAACATACATACAGTGCATAGTGACACACACGCATACATATACATACAGTGCATACACACATCTGCCCGGCACAACCACTGTCTTGCACTGTTGGCCAATGAGCTGTTTAAGCAACTTGGTGCCAAGGACTGCCGTTCATTATACGGAGCAAAGAGTGCATTAGAATATCTTTCTAATAGCATACGAACACTTTTAGCATTTCCTTAAAAGGCATGGATCAACATTTTGTGAAACATGCCTATTTGTTTTCTTAACAGGATTTCCATGTCTGTACAAAAAAGTGCTGTACCAACAGGCGTCATTCATAAAGTGGATTTGAATGCTGCGCGGCTTTTTCTTTTATTGCATGTCTGTCTATGTATTTTGTCTAAGCCTTGTATATCTGCACAGTCGCAGATAAAGATTAGGCTAAACCAGGGGTCTCCAACCTTTTTCAGGACGAGAGTTACTTTCACAAAATAAAACAAGTCGTGAGCTGCTGTTACTTTTTTTTTTTTTTTTTGCAGTGTGTATATTTAGCACATTTTAACATTATTATATGCTTACCCCTAACCTTTGTGCGCTGTTTGGGTCTGAGGGACCCGTTTTCACGTTTTACTAAAAGAAAATGTATTCAATTTAATTATTTTAACCTGCTTTTTTTTTGGGGGTCCTCACATCCTCTAGGGGGGTCCTCACATCCTCTAGGGGGGTCCGGGGACATGCACCCCCGGGAAGATTCTTTTTAAATGTACATTCACTTTTTACAAATCAATTTATGGATACAGCTCTCAACACTCATATGAAAGAGAGCTGTATACTTTTCAATAATCCAAACATCTTTAGAATATGATCACAACCAATAACAAATAATTTAAACTTGTTTATTCTTATCTTATGTTACCTAGTTAGCATTTTTTCTTTTTATTTATGCATATTTTACTAATCACTCCCCTTATAAACTTGTTTTTTTTTTTACTGTCCTGTAGGCCTATAGCACACATTGGAATGATTTCTTATTTTATTTTGTACAATTATAAATTAAATAGATAAAGGTGTGTTCTCTCTCGCTCTCTCTCTCAGTCTCGCTCGCTCAGTCAGAGACGCTATTTGCTCCTCCGTGGCGATGACGGCTTGCGTTAAAAAACAATAATAAACATATTTGTAAAGTGGGGGGACACAAACAGGATTTTGAAAAGTGGGGGGGACATGTCCCCCAGGGGCGGCGGGTACTATAGGCTAGGGGCCTTCCCAAATATTTGTGTCACTGCATCCTGGTCAAATACAAATATAATGTATAATGTTTGTGTCTTTGACATTAGCGCTGCTATGCAGCCACCTGTGCCCTGTACTACGAAGCCAGTTCAACATACCCTGGATATGTTTGAGTTATCTTAACTAACCCTAACAAACGAGATGTCGCTAAGCGGTCCTACGACGCTGGTTATCAACTTGGTAAATCAAGCCAGGGTTTTTCTCTCCAGCTGAGAACGCGTTCACATGAAAGGGGCGGGGTTAGCAACATTTGACCAACAGTTTTTAAAAGTAAAAAACAATTTTTTTATTTTTAAAATAATTTCCTATTTACATTTTTTTTCACACAGAAAATCAATAGTTATACTGATTGTAACATCCCCAGGACCGTTCCCAGCTTAGAATTCCCCACATCACTGGAAATATCATCATGGAGTTTTTTCACTTCAGTCAAAATATTCATGTGTATGCTGTTTTTGACACAAAGATGCATTACATCTACAAACAGAGCATACAATGAGAGCACATGATACACTTTTGATGTTTGTTTCATTTCTTCGGTAATGTTACAGAATGTTTCGGAAAATGAAGATTCCAGGACCACTTTAAATGTTTCGTTTACAATCGTTTCCCAATGACCAGGAATAGTACTGCCAGAACGAACGATATCCAAAATGTCTTCTAGTTTACAAACTTCAGCCATTCTGTTTACACGGGGATCACTATTCACTCTGTTTTCAATCGTCCTCATCACCACACTTATTAAAAGGGTATTGACTACATTCTGATCAATATATACCGAGCGTTTTGCATAGTAGTTCCCCATTTTTATTTTACTTTAAAGAAAAAGTCAATGTATCGAAAAAGAAAAAATCCCTGGCTTCAACCAACCGCAGGTTATTAGTCTTCTTCTTCTCCATCCAACTCGGCATGGATCTTTTCAAGTCTCTCCTTGAGGCGTCTACAATTTTTGAGATTGTGCAGAAAAGCCTCCGAAGCGCCTTGGATCCTCCAATCATCCGTGAAAATTCTTTATCAATAAGAGTCTGGTCGATCTCAGTAATGAAGTCGGTGAGCCAGAGTCTTTTCATTAACGCGTTGTAATTGTTTCTGAAGAAAAAATCGGGCATGTCATTCAGACAATCGTGTTGCCTCTGGCCGGGGTGACTGACTCGGCATCCGTTGCATATTTCTTCTCTGTACCGATGTACCACCCCCTCCAC